AAAAAGGGAGGGGGGGGGGGGGGGGGGGTGGTTAGAGAGCAACCAAAGAATTTGTATGCATGCATATTAGCATAACCATTGGACAGACACTGCGGCGGTGGGGGCTTCCCCAGGTTTTGTTTAATGAAGTCAAATCTATTCCTGACAGATCTGACCCATTTTCACTGTTCTTGGCTAGCACTGTTTCAAAAATTCAAGAAAATGAAATATTCTGTAGAGCAGAAACTCCATAGTGGTGAACCTCTAAAATGAAGACATTGTTTTGCATGTTTGTGTCCTGCCTTAAGTCACTTTAAGGATTTTGAAAATAAAATTCAATAGGTTTTGCCCTGCCTAGCCCGTTACTCAGTGGATAGAGCGTCAGCCTACGAACTGAAAGGTCCCAGGTTCGATTCCGGTCAAGGGCACATGCCCAGGTTGTGGGCTCGGTCCCCAGTGGGGGACTTGCAGGAGGCAGCTGATCCGTGATTTTCTCTTATCATGGATGTTTCTATCTCTCTCTCTCTCCCTCTCCCTTCCTCTCTGAAATCAATAAAAATATATTTTAAAAAAGAAAGAAAGAAAAAGAACTCTGACAGACGTGCATGGGAGGGGCATGATTGGGCTAGGATTTTTTAATTAACTTATTTTTAAATTCAGACAAGGGTGTTGATGAATTTGTTGTTCCTAAAATGAATTAGGATCTTACAAGGCGGCTGGAGCTGCTGTGGACAGTGGCTGAGAAGAGGGTGAGGGAAAGCAGGGTCTGACAGGAGGCCCAGCGCAAAGGGTGGCGGGACTTGCACTTCTGGCCTTTGGTGATTCAGCTGCCTGAACAACCCCCTCGACTAAAGCAACTAAGTGCTGGATAAAATACGCAAAATTTCTTTTTAAAGGCACAGCACCCCCCCCCCCCAAAGTTGACATTAATAAAAAAAGGTAGATAACAAGTGTTTTCAAGGATGTGGAGAAATCAGAACCTCACACACAGCTGCTGGGAGTGTAAACATGGTGCGGCCACTTTGGAAAATAGTCTGGCAGTCCCTCAGATGGGCCAGCATAGAGTTACCACGTGACCCTGCTGTTCCACTCCTAGGGATATACCCAAAGTAAATGGAAACATTTGTCCACACAAAAACTCATATGTGAATCTTCATAGTAGCATTATCTATAATAGCCATATGGTAGGAAAAAACAATTTTCCATCAACTGATGAATGGATGGTAAAAGGTGGTATAACTGAACAAAGGAATATTATTTGGCAATAAAAAGGAATGAAGTACTGATACACGCCATAACATGATGAACCTTGAAAACATGCTAAGTGAAAGAAACTAGACTCAAAGAACCACATAGTTCCATTTCTATGAAACAATATTGATAATATTGTCCAGAACAGCCTGAGTGGAGGCTCAGTGGTTGAGCATTGACCCATGAACCAGGAGATGATCACGGTTTGATTCCCCTGTCAGGGCACATGTCTGGGTTTCGGGCTCCATCCCCAGCAGGGGGCGTGCAGGAGGCAGCAGATGGATTGATCGATTTCTATCTCTCTATCCCTCTCCCTTCCTCTCTCTCTCTCTGAAATTCAATAAAAACATATTTAAAAAAATACTATACATCGGATCAACAAAGTCAGAAGACATTTCTTGTAAAGTCTAATATTGACAAATTCCTTACAGCATTAACAAAGACAAAAGAGGCAGCGCAAATAAGCAACACCATGAACAGAGGACAGCAACAGATGAGGTATCAGAATACATACAGGATAACTTTATGCCAATAATTTTGAAAACAGATGCAAAGGATAAACTCCGAAAAAAATACAACTCATGGAAATAGGCTCAAGGGGAAATAGAAAACCTGGGTGATCCTATCACCATTAAAGATTCGCAATATCAGAAGTTAATCTTCACAGGAAGACAGCTTTACAGACCAGTTCCCCCAAACGTTCAAGCAACCAATCATCCCCATCTCGCCAACTCTTCTAGAAAACAGAAAAAGAGAGAACACTTCCCAGTTCACTTTAGAAGCCAAATATAAATATAGCACCAACAGCAATGCCAGGCAAGGTCAGTATAAGAAAGGAAAATTACAGGCAAATCTCACTCATTAATGCAGATGTAAAGCTGTTGTATAAAAATGTTATGCGATGGTCCCTGCCCCGGTAGTGCTGTTGGTTATAGCGTCCTCCCGATATGACAAAATTGAGATTCAATCTCTGGTCAGGGCACATACAAGAATCAGTCAATGAACGCATAAATAAGTGGAACAACAAATCAATGTTTCTCTCTCCCTTCCTCTCTAGCTCTAAAATCAACCAATAATTAAAATTAAATAAAAATGTTATGCTATGAATGCATTTTTATCTCAAAATGTAAGGTTGATTTAATATTATAAAAGTGGTAAGTGTAATTTACCATTTTGACAGATAAACAACACTCCACAGTCCTGGCCAGCATATTAAACAAGAATGCATAACATAGCCCTAGCTGGTTTGGCTCAGTGGATAGAGCATCAGCCCGTGGACTGAAGGGTCCTGGGTTCGATTCCAGTCAAGGGCACATGCCTGGGTTACAGGCTGGATCCCCAGTGTGGGGCGTGCAGGAGGCAGCCGATCAATGATTCTCTGTCATCATTGATGTTTCTATCCCTCTCTCTCCCTCTCCCTTCTTCTCTAAAATCAATAAAAATACATTTTTAAAAAAGAATGCATAACAATAAAGTTATAAGAATTGGAAAAGAAGAAACAAACTTGTCATTATTTGCAGATGCTATACTGTCAATTGGAAAACCAAAGAGAATTTACAGATAAATCCTTAAAATTAATTATTAACAAGTTTGCTGGATACAAAATGAATTTAAGGGAGAAAGAACCCAGCTAGCATGGCTCAGCCACCCCCCCCCCCCCCAAAGTTGACATTAATAAAAAAAGGTAGATAACAAGTGTTTTCAAGGATGTGGAGAAATCAGAACCTCACACACAGCTGCTGGGAGTGTAAACATGGTGCGGCCACTTTGGAAAATAGTCTGGCAGTCCCTCAGATGGGCCAGCATAGAGTTACCACGTGACCCTGCTGTTCCACTCCTAGGGATATACCCAAAGTAAATGGAAACATTTGTCCACACAAAAACTCATATGTGAATCTTCATAGTAGCATTATCTATAATAGCCATATGGTAGGAAAAAACAATTTTCCATCAACTGATGAATGGATGGTAAAAGGTGGTATAACTGAACAAAGGAATATTATTTGGCAATAAAAAGGAATGAAGTACTGATACACGCCATAACATGATGAACCTTGAAAACATGCTAAGTGAAAGAAACTAGACTCAAAGAACCACATAGTTCCATTTCTATGAAACAATATTGATAATATTGTCCAGAACAGCCTGAGTGGAGGCTCAGTGGTTGAGCATTGACCCATGAACCAGGAGATGATCACGGTTTGATTCCCCTGTCAGGGCACATGTCTGGGTTTCGGGCTCCATCCCCAGCAGGGGGCGTGCAGGAGGCAGCCGATGGATTGATCGATTTCTATCTCTCTATCCCTCTCCCTTCCTCTCTCTCTCTCTGAAATTCAATAAAAACATATTTAAAAAAAATCGGATCATCGGATCAACAAAGTCAGAAGACATTTCTTGTAAAGTCTAATATTGACAAATTCCTTACAGCATTAACAAGAGGCAGCGCGGCAGCGCAAATAAGCAACACCATGAACAGAGGACAGCAACAGATGAGGTATCAGAATACATACAGGATAACTTTATGCCAATAATTTTGAAAACAGATGCAAAGGATAAACTCCGAAAAAAATACAACTCATGGAAATAGGCTCAAGGGGAAATAGAAAACCTGGGTGATCCTATCACCATTAAAGATTCGCAATATCAGAAGTTAATCTTCACAGGAAGACAGCTTTACAGACCAGTTCCCCCAAACGTTCAAGCAACCAATCATCCCCATCTCGCCAACTCTTCTAGAAAACAGAAAAAGAGAGAACACTTCCCAGTTCACTTTAGAAGCCAAATATAAATATAGCACCAACAGCAATGCCAGGCAAGGTCAGTATAAGAAAGGAAAATTACAGGCAAATCTCACTCATTAATGCAGATGTAAAGCTGTTGTATAAAAATGTTATGCGATGGTCCCTGCCCCGGTAGTGCTGTTGGTTATAGCGTCCTCCCGATATGACAAAATTGAGATTCAATCTCTGGTCAGGGCACATACAAGAATCAGTCAATGAACGCATAAATAAGTGGAACAACAAATCAATGTTTCTCTCTCCCTTCCTCTCTAGCTCTAAAATCAACCAATAATTAAAATTAAATAAAAATGTTATGCTATGAATGCATTTTTATCTCAAAATGTAAGGTTGATTTAATATTATAAAAGTGGTAAGTGTAATTTACCATTTTGACAGATAAACAACACTCCACAGTCCTGGCCAGCATATTAAACAAGAATGCATAACATAGCCCTAGCTGGTTTGGCTCAGTGGATAGAGCATCAGCCCGTGGACTGAAGGGTCCTGGGTTCGATTCCAGTCAAGGGCACATGCCTGGGTTACAGGCTGGATCCCCAGTGTGGGGCGTGCAGGAGGCAGCCGATCAATGATTCTCTGTCATCATTGATGTTTCTATCCCTCTCTCTCCCTCTCCCTTCTTCTCTAAAATCAATAAAAATACATTTTTAAAAAAGAATGCATAACAATAAAGTTATAAGAATTGGAAAAGAAGAAACAAACTTGTCATTATTTGCAGATGCTATACTGTCAATTGGAAAACCAAAGAGAATTTACAGATAAATCCTTAAAATTAATTATTAACAAGTTTGCTGGATACAAAATGAATTTAAGGGAGAAAGAACCCAGCTAGCATGGCTCAGTAGTTGAGCATAGACCTATGAACCAGGAGATCACAGTTTGATTCCTGGTCAGGGCACACGCCCAGGTTGTGGGCTCATTCCCCAATCAGTGTGCAGGAGGCAGCCGATCAATGATCCTCTCTCTTTCTCTCCCTACTGCTCTGAAATCAATAAAAATATACTTAAAAGACAGAGAGAAACATCAATTGGTGCTGAGGATCAAACAAATCAGCAACTCAGGCAGGAGATGTAATTTTAAAAGAGATACTATGTACAATAGCAACAAGATGACAGAATCTCCCCCTGGCTGGTGTGGCACCAAAAGGTTGACAGTTCAATTCCCGGTCAAGGAACATGTCTGGGTTGTGGCAGGGGGAGTGCAGGAGGCAGCTGATCCATGTTTCTCTCGTTCTCTCCCTTCCCCTCTCTCTAAAAATCAATTTTAAAATCTTAAATAAAAAATAAAAAAAGATGATTGATCGAGTCTCTAGGAATAAATCTCAAAAGATGTATGAGCCCTGTAATGATGAAAATTATAAAATTTTCTCACATGACATTAAAGAAGGCCAAAATAAATAGAGATATACAGTAATCGTCCCTTATTCATGTGAGATACATTCCAAGACCCACATGGATGCCTGTAACCTCGGAGAGTAACCAAACCCTATATAATGTTTTCCCCTATAAATACATACCCGTAATGAAGTTTAACTTATAAATTAGGCACAGTAAGAGATAACCAAAAATTACCACCAATAAAATAGAATAATTATAATAATATACTGTAATCAAAGTTATGTGAATGTGGTCTCTCTCAAAATACCTTACACTGTACTCCCCCTTCTTTTTATGGTGGCGTGAGGCGTCACAACGCCTATGTGGTGAGATGAAGTGAGTGGCGGCACAGGCATGCGCCGTCCGCAGCAGCAGACGACTGCCAGGGCTACTGGGACACAGCTCTGTGGGTGCGGCAGGGGCCTGATAGCCGGGCTGCTACCGACGGGCCGGCAGCAGATACGGTGAGGACCAAAGGGATGATCCCCGTCCTGGGCCTGCCCGCCCAAGATTTCATCACGCTACTCAGAATGGCTCACGATTTCAAATTTATGAATTGTTTCTGAAATTTTCCATTGAATATTTTCAGACCACGGTTGACTGTAAGTGAACTTGCTAAAAGCAAAAACGCAGACGAGGGACTACTGCACCGCGTTCTTGGATAAGACTCAAAACTGGAAAGATGGCAATTCTCCCCAAATCGATCTATAGATGCAATGCCGTTCCCAATGAAATTCTCAGAAAGGTTTTTCGGAGGACTTGGTAAGCTGCTTCTAAAATCCACAAGGAAAATAAAAATGCAAGAATAGCGAAGAGGCTCCCGAAGAAGAGATGGCCCTGTCGGACAGCAGGACTTCTTACAAAACTACGTCAGCGCGCTATTGGCAGAGGGACGGACCAAGGGGCGGAACGGCGAGGCCAAAGCAGACCCACGCGGGAGCTCTGTGCGGGGCTGGCCCTGCAGGGCAGGGAGGAACGGGCAGGCGTCTCAGTAAACGTACAGGGAACAGCGGTTGCCTATTTGGGAAAAGTGAAAGCAGATCCCCACGCGGGAGAAGGCTTCAAATAGAGGGCTGGGCGCTGAGAGCGGCTGGAGCACGCAGGGCGTGAGAACCGCAGGGGCGGGTCTGGCAGAGCGGAGGCTGAGTAACCCTCATAGAGCAACGGCAGCAGCGTGGCGAGGACGGCAGCTGGACCAGCTGGACCAGCTGGACGGGAGTGGGTGAAACACTGGACCAGAGGAAGGAGACAGGAGCGGGGCAATTCCCGAGAAACGGCTGGGGAAGGGGGGCCACGGGAGGGTGTCTGCATAATGACGAGAGAGAAAGAGGTGATGGATGAAGGAGCAAGGCTTTCAGAGGTGGGGGGAACGGGGTCCCAAGCAGACCTCAGGGTCCCCACGGGCAGGGACAGTTCTGCCACGGTCACAGGAGGGAAAGCAGTCAGGATGGCACAGGCCCAGACAGGCTGGGGGTGGGAATGTGAGGGGGTGGGAATGTGAGGGGGTGTCCCGCGTGATGAGGCCTTTCAATGACATGCCAGGCCAGGTGTGCAGATGAGTAACAGCGGAGGGAGGTTTGCGGGGCGAGCGGGACGGTGCTGACGAGCAGTGGGATTGCCGGGGGCGAGCCAAAGTGCTCATTTGAGGTTTGTGGCCGTGTGATTCCTCTCCAGCCACGCGGGTGGCTCAGCTAGGACAGTGGCTGTGCCGAGTGAGAGGAGCAGAGGGAGCCAGGGGCCAGGAAACAGAGTTTGCAGGGACGAGACGAACCTGATGACTCTAACCTGGGAAGGAGAGGAAGGGAGGGAGGAAGATCATGCAAAAGCAGGGGGCTCAGCAGATCAGGGAGGTCAAGGCTGAGGGCGGCAGGAAGAGGGTTGAAGGCGAGGCCAGGGAGGGAGGTTTGGATCCGCTCAGGGTGCTGGCTGGACCGAGGGAAGGAGAAGGCTGCTGCAGGCGAGGATGGCAAGGGACTGAGGGGCCGTCAGTGGACTGGGTCACCCACATGGGTCCAGAAGCCCAGGGAAAGGTGACAGAGGGGTCAGAGGGGACTGTGGGCCCGGGGACAGGTCTCAGATGGAGGAGTGACAGCAAGTGCTGGCTGGATCGAAACAAAGTCTTCCTCCCTGGCTCGCAGCCTGGGCTCAGGCAGGATGGGGAGGCAAGCGTAGCTCCTTAGAATTTACAAGGACGTTCAACGTTTTACTCCTCAAAGCAATTCGAGAGGTCAGCACACACATCCCCATGCGCCGCGAGGACCTGGGGCTCAGCGAGGACGTGCCCTGCCTGAGCCTTCCAGCCCGGAGGCGGGGCCCAGACCGCACCCCGTTTGTTAGCTCTGCGTGCGGGGGCTCAGGTCACCTGGGTAGTTCCGGCAGCCGCCCGCGGTGCTCCCCCGCCGCCAGGTGCCGTCGTAGAGGGTGGTGTTCCACTTGCGGAACCGCCGGCTCTTCAGGGCGTCGGGGGTCAGGTTGCAGATCTCCAGGCGGGTGAACTCGCGCATGAAGTCTCGGAATGACATCCTGGGGGTCGAGGTGCAGAGGTGAGCCCCGGTCCCGGCCAGGACCCCGGGGATGCAGCAGGCGCGGCTCCTGGGGTGTGGGCGGTGGGTGCAAGGTCCCGAGAGGGGCCAGGCTGAGGAGGCAGCTGCTCACCAGAACTCCCCGTCCTCCATCTTGATGCGGAGCTGCTCCCGCTCGTAAGGGTCCACGTTGTTCCACTCTGAGGAGCTGTGGGGAGAAGGGCCTCTGTCCCTGGGGCCTGTCCTCCCCTAGCCCAGGTCACGGTCAAGGTCAAGCCCCAAGATCCCAGTTCCAGGGGTGGCCTGACAAGGCTCACAGGCTGGGCCCAGGAGCCCAGGTGGCCTGAGCTTGGTCCCTGGGCCCAGGAACATGAGGACGGGCCCCTCTGCTCAATCCTGAGCCCACCCCAGGCTGGCAGCGCCCTGAGCGGAAATGCCAGGGGCACTGAGCAGCCGCCCCAGCCAGTGCCCCCTGCCCCTCACCCGTCACTCCAAGCTCCAGTCCACTCCACCTCGCCCCACGGGTTCCGCATCCGGATCAGGTTCACCATCTGGCCCATGTAGTTCACCTGTTCCCCAGAGCTCCCATCAGCGCCTGCCCGGCGTGCCCTGTGACACCCCTTCCCGCCACGGCACCCGGCCTAGCCCGGCGTGGCACCCAGGCGCACCAGACCCAGCGGAGAAGCAGCTACGTACGCACACGACCGTCCCTCGAGGCAGGCCAGGACAGACACCTCAGGAGAAGAGTCCCCAGGAGGCAAATAAGGGGCAACTACAGGAGAGCCAGCCCCTCCCACAGCCCTGGTCTCGGGCCCGAGGGGCAAGGTCAGGCAAAGACGCGGGCAGCACCCTGTAGGGAAGGCCCCAGGGTACCTGCTTGGCCCCAGTCACGGAGTAGGCGTGGCCCTTCACCAGCTTCTTGAAGGTGACGGCCTCCATGTCCAGGACGCTGGAGATCTGCAAGGTCATGTGCTCTGGTCAGGGGCCAGGTTCCAGGGACCCGGTCAGCATCCCTACCCCCAGGCAGAGGTGAGCCCCGAGCATGAGGGTCCTGGACAGTCCCCCTTGTGGAACGGAGTGGCAGGCAGGGACCCCGACCCCATCTAGCCCAACACCTCCAAGTGCAGATGCTGCCCCTAGGAGGGGGCTGCCCGAGGGTTCCGCCAATGCCGCCAGGGTGGGGGGCTGGCACCCAGCCGGCCCGTGCACACAGGAGGCCCGCCGGGCACTCACATCGATGGAGCAGCCCAGCAGGGAGCCCCGCTCCAGGGCCTTGATGATGATTTGGTAGAGGTCGCCGGGCGCCTTGCGCAGCTCATACCACTCGGTGACGCCGCCGGTGAAGTCCTCAAAGCCCTCGGAGGTGCTGCCCCCCGACAGGGCTTCGTAGCTGCCGTTCACCCTGTGGGCGGCCCCGGGTCAGTGCTCCGGCACCACAGAGGACACTGCCCCGGGGTGGCCTGCAGCTGCCCCCCGGCCCCACTCACTTGGCGTAGGCCTTCTCGAGCAGGGCGCTCCAGAACTCGTTGCCTTGGGCCGAGTGCACGAACACCAGCTTCCCGTCCTTGGTGGGCAGCAGGTCATCCACGACCACGTCCACCCACTCCCCGAACTGCCACAGCTGTGGGGGGAGGGGGCACGGTGAGACCTGCTATGGGGTCCCCAAGCCTGAGGTCGCGCCTCCGTCTGCCGCGTACGAGACCAGGTATCCCGGAGCAAGTTATGCCCCCTGAGCCTGTTTCCCTGTCCATACAAGGGGGCCGCAGGGCCTTCCTCAGGAGGAACACTAACCCGATCCTGAAGGCAAAGCGCCCTACGAGGGCAGCACTGCTGCTATTCCGGAAACAGCCCGAGGTGTCAGTGGAGAGGTTGGAAGGCTCCCCCCTGGGCTCTGGGGAACTAGCCCCCTTTAGGGCACAGTCCCCACCTCTCCCCTCCGCATTCTAGGCCAGGGTGTGTGTGTGGGTGGCGGTGGGGGATACATATGCAGAGTGGGCGTGGACCAAAAATGTAGCACCCAGTCCTGCAACCACAGGATGGGCGCGGTTCCTGCAATCCTGGGGCTTGCTTCAGAGGTGCCAGAGGCCAGGTTCCCCAGAAGGGAGGCGTCCGGTTGCCCTGGGCCAGAAGCAGCCCCGTGCTGCTGAGAAGGAAGGTATAGAACAATGGGGAAAGGGGGGCTGGTGCACCCAAGTAGCACGGGTAGTGGGGGGCTGCTGGACCCGCCAAAAGAGGCAGAAAGGAGCGGGTTGGAAGAGAGAGGGAAGGGGGCGGGGGAAGGGACGGTGAGGCCAAGTCCCTCTGGACAGCCTGGGCAGGTGTGGCACTTGGCCACTGCGGATGGCAGCTGGGATCCTGTCGGCCAGCGGTCGCCACGCCAACCCGTGGTCCGTGCGGTCTGAAAGGTTGGCGACCGCTGCTGTAGGCTGTCTCCTGGGCCCCGAGGTGGGCGAGGAGGGAGGACAGTAAGGGGCTCCCTGACTAGGCAGAAGGAGGGGGAGTTCCCAGGGCAGGGCTGGGGCCACAGGGTTTCATCCGGGGTTGCTGGGGGAGGGGTGGTGTCTCTCCCAACACCAGCTCATTAAGAAGTCATTAGTCTCTGACTTGAGAAATGGGCTTGGTGTGCAAACGTCAGGAAAATCTGGTTTAAATAGACTTAATCCCAAATTGTTCTTTTCTGCAGGGCTGTCAGAGGCTAGAGGTTGCCAGGAGGAGCTGGGGGGGGGGGGGGGGGGGGGGGGGTGGACACCATGGGTGGGGAGGCCATGTGTGCTGGTCTGTCCTCACCCAGCAGAACATTAAATTTTTTTAGGGGAAACTGAGACCCTGGGAGGAAAAAGGATTCGTCCCACAGGACATAACACAGAGACACAGAAGTCTTTCTACCCTTCCGGCACTTTCTTCCCGATCCGCACAGCCACCCAGGAACGCTGCCAGCCAAATACCTGCCCACCGCTCCACGGCTGACCGGCCCGATGGCACGGAGCAGTCACATTCTTTCCAGAGGGAGGGCGGGCCTGCAGGGTGTGGCTCTGAGCCACCCTCGCTGCAGTCTGAGGGTCACCTGTCCTCCCCTCCCCGGTGCCGGCTGCCACTCTCCCCGCCCCTGCATCTCACCTGGAAATGGAAGATGCCGGCGTAGCCGTCCTGGAAGCTCTGGCCGTGCGGAACCACTCGGTGCAGGAGGGTGTCGTTGAGGGTGAGAGAGGCGATGGCAGCCAGGAGCCAACAGTCCCCTGGGACGGGAGACCCCCATCAGACCTGCTCTGCTAGTGCTTGCCCATGCTGGGGAGAACCAGGGGTCCCCTGGGTGGCATACCCCTCAACTAGCAGAAAAGCCCCAGGAATCTGGGCGAACCAGCCCCAGCACGGACAGCCAGAGCCTGTCTGAGCTTGCAGGAGGGAGGGGTTGGGGCAGAGCCAGAAGGAACGGGCAGAGGGAACTCCTGTGGAAAAAACACCCAGGACCCGCTAGGGCCTACCCAGGGCTCCCTGGCAGATGTCCGTGCGGGTGGCTCCGTCCACAATGAACTGGGGGTTTGAGAGCAGCTCCTGCAAGAGACCCAGAGTCCTGTCTCCCAGAAACGAGCCCAGCCCCCAGGCCCCACTGCCTACTGAGACCTGGAGTCCTGTTCCCATTCCTCACTCGGGATGGGGGTAAACTGAGCCCCACACGGGGAAGCCCCTCTCACCGTGGGGCGCTTCCACTTGATCCCGTAGGTTTTGGAGGAGTTGGGGCCCAGGTCCTTGTAGCCCAGGCTCTGGGTCACCGGGGGGAAGGCGTCGTCGCGGAAGAGGGCCCCGCTCTGCAGGCACCGGGCCCGCAGCTGCTCATAGTCCTGGCCCAGGTACTTGATGGCGTTTTCATGGCGGCCCAGGCCCAGCTCCTTGGCCCGCTGCTTCTGCACTTGGGCCGACACCCCGGTGCAGTACACGGGGGTGATGAACTCCTCGGCCATCCTGCGGGACGGACAGGCCTCCTCAGCACCCAGGCCTCCCCAGGACTGCAACGGGGGCCTCCCCAACCCTGGGGTTACCCACATCACCCCTCCCCTCACGGAACGCAGGGCTCCGCCACTTCCTTCTGCTCCCAGGAGAGGAGTTCCCCAGCCCTGGGTGTGCGGGCCACGCCCTCGCTACCCCCGACAGAGCCACCACCTTCCCCCGGAGCCCATTGTCCTGGGC